CCAGAGTCAGTCTGGGATGGAACTACAAAGGCTGTGGATAGCAAAAGGGGCCTCCTGACTGTTTAGGTTTTTTGCTTTTTTCTTTTTTAAAAAATTTATTTGACAGGCAGAGTTATAGACAGTGGGAGAGAGAGAGACAGAGAGAAAGGTCTTCCCTCCCATAGATTCACTTCCTAAATGGCCGCTACAGCCGGTGCTGTGCTGATCTGAAGCCAGAAGCCAGGTGCTTCTTCCTGGCCTCCTATGTGGGTGCAGGAGCCCAAGCACTTGGGCCATCCTCCACTTCCCTCACGGGCCACAGCAGAGAGCTGGACTGGAAAAGGAGCAACCGGGACTAGAACCCGATACCCCTATGGGATGCCAGCACTGCAGGTGGAGGATTAACCAAGTGAGCCACAGCTCTGGCCCCATGAACATCTCTGTTCATTCATTCATTCCACAAATTGTATGAATGAAGTTTTTCTGTAAGCGATGCCTAGGACAGGCAGTAAGGTAGAGGTTTTTCCTCAATGCTTGAAATTCATGTTCTAAGGCAGTAAGAGCAGACCACAGAAGTCAGACAAGGATTCGTGAAGGTCCCATCAGGCAGGATGGGCCTCAGAAGGCCTCTCTGCATTCTTCCCCACCTCTGCAGAAATCACAACATCTTTACTCAGGATTACCCATTAGCGACCTCTTCTCCATTAAGAAAAACAAAACTTAAAACCAAAAATTTTAAATATTTGCAGTGTGTATATATGTCTTAAAATGTATAAGTGAAAAATTATTGTATTTCCTTGGTAAGCTACACAGCCAAGCATGGTATTATGTGCTAGCATTTCCACTATCTGAATGTCAAGGGTGAAATTTAGGAGCCGTTAGTCCTCAGTCCCTGAGCTGTTGACTTGTTCGCAGGAATCCATAGCTTCCAGAACTCCAAATTCATCCTTGCAAAACCTACATAGCCCCAAAGCCCAAATGAAAATCCCTTCAGAAATAGCTTTAGAAAGCTTCCCCATTCTATATTTGCCTCTTGCAATGTGGTGGAAACACCGCAATGCAAGCCCAGTCTTTCATAAAGACAGGGGTGAGGAATGGAGTTTGATCTTGTTTTTTTTCAGCAAAGGCACAAGAAGAAGTGCATCTGTGAATATTGTGTACTTTTATTCTATTCTGTGCACCAAGGTTATCTGGTACTGTTTCACCAATGATCTGTATTCAGGACCTGAAAGGAAATTGGCTGCGGAACAGTGAAAGTTTCCTTAAAAAATTAGATACAGATGATCACTTCCAAATGCAGTCGTGGAATTTTACAAGTGACATTATGATGATCAGCTTTCCAACAGACACCCGGCCTTTTATAAAGTGCACATTATCTATGGCCAGCTTTATTACTGCTCCAGGACCGTTGAACTGGAATCGCCTATCTAATTAAACTGAGAAATGTTGGGTGAACTTGAACTGTTTCAGGGACATGAATGACCAGAGAACGTATTTCATATAAACCTATTGTTTCATCATGTGATGGTGAAATTATTTTTAAAATGTTGTGTCCTGAGTACATTAAGAATAAAAGGCATCAGGAAGTTATATTCTTCACCAATCTCGCAACTTTGCATTTCTGTGTGAACTGAGCAGTGTAAGCTATGGTTGGTGCTCAATGAAAACTTTGTGACAATTTTTTTCAATAAAGTGGCACACAAAGTGGCATCAGCTGACAGTTCTTTCTTTTAATATGTGTCTGCCGACATTTCAGATAAATTCTGCTTTACTGGGGCACAGCATGTTAAGTTGCCCTCCAGGATGCCAGCTTCTCATATGGGTGCTGGTTCAAGTCCTGGCTGCTCCACTTCTGATCCAGCTCCCTCTTAACGTGCCTGGGAAAGCAGTGGAATATAGCTCAACTGCCTGGGGCCCTGACACCCAGACGGGAGACCTGGAATGAGTTCTGAGTGCCTGATTGTGGCTTGCTCCAGCTCTGGAATTTTCTTAAAAGAGGAAAGCCTGTGGTTATGCCCAAATATAACAAAGTGTGTTTGTGTATGATGATGAATGACTCCTGCTCACATGCTGCCCTGTACAGCTACAAAACTGAGGAATTTACCAAGTCAGGCCCATGATGTTCAACATGAAAACAATTTTTATTCATGGTAACATATAAATTTCAATCAGTCAACCTTAACAATGGGACTTCTGATGTGTTCAAGCAACTTGAATGCAATAGGTCATGTCCAGGGCAGCCATGTTGTATCAATGTACCTAAGTTTAAAAAAAAGCAACATCTCCAATAAACATACATACATGTATATGCACACACACATGAATGGACAACTACAGCTATGGCCCATGGGCCAACAAAAATGTGTATTTATTGCTTATGACTCTAGCACAACAAATGTCATTGCATTCCTTCAACTATACTTTTTGAACTCCCCAAGTCTGAACAAAAGAAAAGAAAGTCCCACTGAATAAACACCCTCTCAGGTTCTGTGCTAAGTCAGTAGTATTGTGCAAACCATTCCAGTGGTATTCAAGAGGGATACCAATAGGTTTGATTTGCTACAGGGTTTAGTAAAGAGTCATAGTTTAATGGTACAGGACATACCAGAAAAGGCCTTGCCCATGGCCTTGGCCTACTGACTGGAGGTCAAGCACAAGGGCAAGCTCAGGGTATCTGGCTACTGGGGGAGAGGAGTCAGTCCCTGCTGGAACTTTCAGCTAAGCCATGAGCAGCACTTCCACCTCCTTTTTCCCCTGCCCCATGGCAGAGCAAAGAAATGTGGCATTCACTGTCACAGAGCAGGAGGAGACAAAGGCAAGTACAAGGGAGAAGCATATGCTAGAGATTAGAAAGGAAAGCTGTATATATCCCAGCCGGGGGGACAGCAATAACCTATAGATTACAAAATCAATGAAGGAATCCCTACCTGGCTTGGCTGCAATTCGGTCCTTCATACTCAGGTCTGTTGTGGAAGCTGAGCCAAAGCATTTCAAAAGCAGAAGACACCAAACTTCTAAGATTGGAAAAGACAAGTCTATGAAAGCCAGCAGAGTCAGGTGGTAGCTGAGACACCAGATCAACTCTATACTAAGTAAAGATTTCAACAGTTTGCACGCACACAGACACACAAACTATAAAGACCTGTTTGAACTACTTTTACAGTTAATTCTCATAGTACAACTCATTAGGGACAGAGGTCCTTCATGGGGAGTAAGTACACAGGGACTCTTGTTGATTAACATTTGGCACTCTTATTTATGATGTCAGTGATCACCCGAGGCTCTTGTCATGAGCTGCCAAGGTGATGGGAGCCTTTTGAGTCCACATACTCTGACATTATTTAGACCAGGCCATAGCAAAGTGGAAGTTCTCTCCTCCCTTCAGGGAAAGGTACCTCCTTCTTTGATGGCCCCTTCTTTCCACTGGGATCTCCCTCACAGGGATCCTTCATGTATCTCATTTTTTGCCACAGTGTCTTGGCTTCCCATGCCTGAAATGCTCAGAGCACTTTTCTGCAGCATAATTTGCAGCCCTAGTGTCTCTGTATTTCCTCTTCTTGGGGCCCAGAAACCTAGGGCCATAAGTGGTAGGAAGGTACACATTAGTTTCTAGGCATACTTGGCACACACACCTGAGTGTGTGTGCACTCTTGAGTCCACTACCCGAGATGGGTAACCCCATGTTGGTTGACCTTTGGTGGTGGTGGTGGTGGTGGTGGTGTGTGTGTGTGTGTGTGTGTTTGGCAGTGGCTTCTTTACTCCCTGAAGTTCCCTCTTCTACACAGAATATTTACAAACTGGGATGGGTGCAGCAACTTTGCCACCAAACAAGAGGCCAGGGAGTGGGAGCGCTGCTGAGATGCAGTTCAGCACAGAGAGTGGTTCCTGAGGAGGGCCCAGGGCTGGCGAGGCCCATGCAGGTCCATGGCCGCCTCCGGCCACTTGGCCATGGGGGAGCCTGGCTTCTTGGCGGCCAGGAGCAGGCAGTTGCAGCGCTCTCTGACTAAGCTGCAGCCTCTGATGGTGGTGCCTCTGTCTCTGCACCTCCTCCTCCAGGGCAGCCCTGTCAGCCTTCTTCTGTAGGTTCTCCTGCAGCTTCCTGAGCATGGACAGGTGCAACATCTTCTCTGACAGCCTCCCAGGCTCTCACCCAGCATCGACCTTTGGATTCCCTTGAGGTCTCTACTCTCTGGGATGGGCTGTCCCTCCTGGACAGTGACTCTATGATGGAGTAGCAAGTAGAGGTGATCTCTGAATGAGACAGACTGCCACTCATCCCCCAGGGTCACTGCCTGTCCCCAACATGATCTTGCTGATGGAGCTCCTCAGGGACAAAGTTTGTGTCATGAAGGAGGACCTCAGCTCAGGGGCTGGGTCACCCTTGTCCTCCTGGACACCAGAGCCATGCTGTCAGGTGCTGACAAGGTGAAATCCCCCATCCAGCATGAGCCAGGCAGCTCTGGTGACCAGGAGGACTGAAGTATACACACTATATGCATTTCATATACACAAACTGAGAAACACAGTGATCCTTCCCACCTGCACTCCACCCTTCTTCCTCCTCTCTCTCCTATTCCCATGCTTATTGCGTTTTTGATAATAATCATTCCAATTGGAATAACATGAACTCTCATCATGGTTTTCTAAAAAAATTAATTATTTGAGATCTTTAAGATGGTGGAATAGGGGAAGGACATACTAGCTTTAGGCTAGGAGAAAACAATAGCAAAAAAGTGGAGGAAGGGCATTTACAGGAGAAGAGTTGGAGAGAAATCTGCAGGAGATATTCTACAGAAGGAAGAGGGATGCTGTGGATCCACGTGAAAGGTGTGGATACACCCAACACACGACTCTTGCAGCTAAGAGCCGGAGGAAGTCACAGCTTTGGAGAGCAGGGTGAGAGCAGACTGTGGGAACCCATGCCATAGGCCCCATGCAGTACTCTGTGTCCACCTGATCTAGGACCAGGGTGAGCACAGCAGGAGCTGGAGTCAGGAGTGGAGGTGGGTTGTCAGACTCAGGCTGCCTGCTGTGGGATGTCTGGCGCCGCACAGTAAAAAGACCCACTCTCTTCTCCTGGGCCCATGCACTGTGTGTTCCTCTCACTATTTTGTCTGCCTGGACCCCCAGCATCTTCTGTATTTTTTGTAATGCAATGACCAAAGGGCAAGGCCATTTCTCCTTGCTGGGTGGGAATTTAAAGTTTCTGGGTTTAGGCTCCATTTTTCTGGAAATCTAATAGAGGCAGTGCACCTGCCTCTCTGTAAGTGACCTTGATTGATGAATTGGAAACCTCCACGTATATGATGAGTAGCTGTGCCTTTGGTGGTGATCCAAGAGATTCTGGCCTTCCTGGGGCAGGAGGACCTTTCTGTGGGGGTGGTTCTTGTAGCCTCTCTCTTTGGCAGAGTGACATGGAGAGAGATTGTCCATTTGCTGTTTCACTCCTCTGGTGGCTGCAACAGCCAGGGCTAGGCTAGGCCAAAGCCAGGAGTCATGAGCTTCTTGCTCTCCCACATGGGTGCAAGAGCCCAAGCACTTGGGCCACCCTCTGCTGCTTTCCCAGGTGCATTAGCAGGGCATGGGATCATAGCAGAGCAGCAGGATTCAAACCTGCACCCCTATGGGATGCTGGTGTCACAGGTGGCAGCTTACTGTGTCACAATGCCAGCCCCTCTTGTAACCTCTTGACATGAGTCACCTCCCCTACTCCTGAGCTGTCACTTGGGGATCTATGAGAAGACTTTGGGGCAGCAATGAGGACTGCTGGGAGAAGCAGGTGCCTTCCAAGAATAAAATCAGGGTGCTGGGTGGTCCCCACTGGGTCTCCTGCCTGACCACCTTCCTGGCGACTGTGGGAACACATCCTGGGGAGTCTCTGGGGACTCTGGAAGATGCCTGCAGTCATTCCAGATATGTATGTAGAATAAAATCATGCACTGAGAGGCACCCTTTGTTCTAGTCCCAGTTGGGATGCCGGTTCTGCCTCAGTTGTTCCTCTTCCAGTCCAGTTCTCTGCTGTGGCCTGGGAAGGCAGTGGAGGATGGCCCAAGTCCTTGGGTCCTGCACCCGCATTGGAGACCGGGATGAAGCACCTGGCTCCTGGCTTCGGATCAGCGCAGTGCACTGGCCGTAGCAGCCATTTAGGAGGCAAACCAATGGAAGGAAGACCTTTCTCTCTGTCTCTCTTTCACTGTCTAACTCTGCCTGTCAAAAAAAAAAAAAACCTCTAAAAAGTGAACCTTGTTTCCTCCATGCTCTCTCCCAATTTGCATAGCTTCCTCCCACATTTTAACAGATTTCCCAAGGGACCATCTACAGTGATGAAGCTTCACTGTCTGACTGCCCGTGACATCTTCACCCCTGATTTCTTCTCCACTATCTGAAGAAATGATTTTCATGCTCACTAGTCTTCCTATGGTGTTTGGTGAGACGGAGCATGCCCCAGAGCTGAGCAAGGCATCTCCACTTTGTTCTGGCTTCATGTTTGCGTGCACAGCAAGGGTCCCTCAGATGCCACTCCCTTTTCCTTTCACAGGGAAGGAGGGGATTTGCTCATGATGAGTTTGGGAAAAGGACCACAACTTGCCTTTGCTTTCTCTGCCTCTTCCTTGCAGGGCACTCACCTTTTTCCTCACCTCTGCTTGCTGTGGAGTACTTGGGAGACTGTCCCTGCAGTGCTGTCTGGCTCTGTTTGTAAGCCAGCCTAGCAATCAACCTAGAGATACTGCCTCTAACCTTCCTTAGCAATAGCAGTGCCTGCTTCATGTGGGGTGGCGGCAGTTACTTTTGAGCAACGCATCCAGAATTTTTTGAATGTTTTACTTTAACATTTTTGATTGACAGATGGAAATTATATACATTTATGGGGTGCAATGCGATGTTCTGATGCATACATACAATGTGGAACAGTCAAATCTAGCTAGTTAACATATTCATCACCTCATTTACTGATCATTTCTGCAGTGAGACATTTGAAATTTACTCAATCGTTTTGAAATATATAACACATTATTATTGACTCTAGTCTCTTTACTTCAGTGGATCTCAAAACTGACGCCTTCTGTCAAACTGAAAAGCTGTGTACTGGACCTACATCTCCCCTGTCTCCATCCAACCCAATCCCACACACCTCCTGACAACTAGCATTCTACTCTCTACTTCCATGGATTAGTTTTGGTAGATCACACACGTATTGAGACCGTGAAGTCTTTGTCTTTCTCACAGTGATCATTTTGATCACCATTTGTCTCTCTCTTTTTTAAAGATGTTATTATTTATTGGAGAGGTAGAGTAACAGAGAGAGAGGGAGAGATGGAGAGAAAGGTCTTCCATCTTCT